TTTTCAGTTTGCTCAGGTAAGATTTGAAAATGAGACAGAGAAGCCAATTGGTTGCAGTGCAAATCTGCTCCAGATTTTGTCTGCTCCAATTTTGATAAATTCACCCCACGTGTCATATTCTCAGGATCAGTGTACAACCCTCTACAGTAGGGGTAGGCAAGCGCCAGCCCTCCAGCTGTGGTACAACTACAAATCTCATGCGGCATTGCAAGACTCTGATATCCACAAGCAGGACTCTAAGAGGCAGCAGCATAATGAGATCCGTAGCTTCACCACAGCTGGGGGGCCAGAGTATGCCTACCCCTGCTCTATAGTTCTCATTGAGGGAGGCTGCAAAACAAATTATGTGACAAAGCCTATTGAACCTGCCTGTAATGTATTACACTGTATACATAATACAGGTGCAATAATACATAATACAGTCTGAAGTGTCATCTGAATAACCTTAAAGTGGTATTAAAGTCTCCGTTTTTTTATATATCTATCTACTGCTAGCAAGCAGGAGAGCATGCAACCACATTTAAAAAAAAGAAGAAAGTGGCCACATATGTATTCATTTACCTGCGCTGCTCGCTCCCTGCTGCAGCACACAGCTTCCAAGCGGCCTTGCAGGAGGATGATGTGTGCGGGTGCATGCCCACTTGATGTTTCCAGAGAGGAGTGAAATAATGTGAATGAATGAACACCAGGAGCGTTCACCCAGGACAGACTCCATGGGAGACAGGAAGAAATAGGAGTCGTCGCTGGATCAAAGAGCAGCACCAGTGCTGAGGGGGACTGTTGCTAACGACTGCAAAAAAAGATGTTCGCATCAAAAGGCATCACATAAGGCGAGTACTTACAGCAGCATTGGGGGGGTGAGTTAGCCTTTAATATCACTTTAAGAGATCTTGCTCTGCTGACTTCCGCTTTTACAAATTACGCTTTGCAATAGATGTGCAGTGAGTTTTGTTCCTTCCTGAAATAAAACAACTGAAGAGTTCCTTATGCAATATCCCCTACACAGCCAACTTCTGTAAAAACTATACTAAAATCAGGAGCATAGCTGGCAAAGATTGGCCTTTAAGGCAGGTCTTAGGTTCATTTGTGAAGTCATTATTGTTTGGACTCAAACCACATTAAATGCGAGAGGTTAATATTAATCAGAAATTAGTTCTATACATTTTCTCGAATATCCGTTCCGTGATTTAATATGAGGAATTATCTTTTATCCATTTCAATCAGCAACTAGCTCAAAAAAAATTTAAACTGCCAAAAATAGAGATTTCCCTTCCTTGCAACCCTTGGCAACAATACTTTGTGAAAAGAATGTCCTAGAAATTTCCTTCCGCATTCATATTATTGTCTCACCTTTTTCCCAGATGTCTGCAGAGCTGAAGGTAAAATTTCAGTCATCCCCACCATTGTCCTTAGATTTACTGCAGTTAGCCTTATATTTTCAGAGGAATACCGGAAAAACATATACAAAAAGGAATTGATTGTATGATTATAGCAGGCTGACCCTCCCACTAAACTAAAACCTAATGCAATGGCGTACTGCTGTATCTACAGAACAGAGGCAGGTTAGAATTTGCACGGAGCTTTGCCACAATTCTTGAAGGATTTATAAGTGACCTGGAGGATTTTTCTTTCCTCAATAAAAATGGAGTTTTAATTAAAAGTAACAAAAATAATGTTAATACTATATCGAACAGCACACCCTACAAGGCTGATGGCAGTTGCTGTGTACCATTGTAAACTATTATGGGCACAGTAAACAAAGACAGTGCTGCGTAAAATATTCAGAGAAGCCCACTTTTTTGAGCATTGCGTACCAGTGCTTAATCAATAACATAAAAATAACTTCTAAAGTGGAAACAGAAAATTGGGAAAGATTCATAATGCGAGTCGTTAGGCAACGTATCAGCAAACACACAGCCATTGAGTTAGGTAGATGAAGGCTGCAGAGTGTAAAACCACATACAGAATACAAATCTGTGCAATGGACTAAAGAGAAGAGAAACTGGAGAACAATCAAGGTGTCTACAGAAGTGAGAGAACCTTCGTCCAATCTAGTAACAGTCAGTAATGATCTTCTACTGTAAGGCCAACCCTTGCCTCAGCAGACATCCCTAGGCCAAGAAATTTTTTAGGGGATGATGTGATAATCCAGGACAATTACTATTTTTCCCCCCAAGAAAAGCCAGTGCTCAAGTCTCCCTCTTTGCGTACAGGACGATGTGAGTATACATGTTTCTAAAAGGATTTTTTGTAAGAGACATTTGTTTACATGGCCAGCTGCCACCTGAAGTATGTTGGCACCTTAAAATGGACATCATCCACATATACCAACAGTGTATACCAACAGTGACTGAGTCAGTAGCTCACTAGCATTCTCTAATGCCAAATAATTTTCTAAGTCACGTCTTAATGCACCCATTGTTTTGACATGTTGTGTAACTGGAATAAAAAAGGTAAAATATAGTTCAAATCCTTCACTTCAAGATCATTTTTAATCTATTCACCAAAGCATCATCTGCAATGCTAATGGAATACCTCTATATAGCTGTGATCAATTACAAAAATCTACCCCCAGAAAAAACAATTTAAAAAAAATGAACAACAGCTATAAAATTGTTATTTATATAACATAATTTGTAAAAATAAGCAAATAATGCATGAAAATAGCACAAGGATGCTTCAATACAATGTATGCTGTAGAGTATTACAAGACCATTTCTATACAGGGCCAGAGTAATAACAGGCAAATCTGTTCTTTTACATGGCAACAAGCTGCAACTGAATGAATGTAAATTGTAACCGGTGAGTGGAAGGGGGAGGTTACAGAAAGGATTCCAGAACTTACAATTCCCAAAATGTCTCAGCTTCCACCATATGCACAGCAGACCTATGAAAGCTTTGCAGAATATAGACTATTCCGTCTATTAAAGTGAAGCTAACCCCTTTCACTAAAAATTACATCAGTATGCAGCTCTGCATGCTGATAAGAATTCATCTTACATTCATTAGTTAAACATATTTCTCTTTTACTTACAATTGCTGTTTTTACACTTCCTGGTCCCCTACGGCATTTGTACTGTAATGTGCCCAAGCATTGCATCCTGGGAAGATTACATCAGTAGTGCATTGCTGGGAAACCTCATCTGTAAGCGCACGAGATATTGGGGAAAGGCATTTCCTCCCCCGAGATGATCTGCATGGTCACATGTGCTAGTCGCATGTGCCAGAGATTCGGGAAGTAAAAAGGAGATGGATTCATCTGCCCTCAGTAAAAAATGGCCACTGTGAGAAGAATGAGGAGGAAAAGAACAATAAGGTATGCAAATAATGAAAAGCGTGCAATCGTCTAGAAGTATCTATATGTAAATTGCCATTACTAAACATTTTTAAAGTTGTATTTGTTGTCATTTTAAAGATATTGGCATCTTCAACAAGGGGAGACAGTCAGTATCATAGCAAAGATTCATGAAAACCAGAAATAAATAGTAAGGAAAACAAAAAAAAAGTTAGACTTAAGATGTAAACAAAAGCCAACATTTTTTTTTATAAAATCTGAACTCCAGGAAGATATTAAAAACATAAATGAATGCAGTTATATATCTAGTGGAAGTACCTTAATCTCACTTCATATCAGCCTAACTGCGCCGGTGCTTATAACAGATGAGCTTGGTCTACTGATTCCCTTCATTGTCAGTCATAGGCTGGGGGCAGAGAGATAATCAAGCTGTATTATAGAAAAGGGAGACCACCAGCCTCGCTGTGCTGTCTGGTAGAATTGTATAAATCTTAAGAATAGCTGAGCAAAAGAACGAATACTTTGACAGGTAAAACAACTCCTATATATTTATTTATTTCTCTTTTCTTCCCCAGTCTTCTGACAGTGGCCATGTTTACTAAGGGCATATTACTAGCTCTCTCCTATTACTTCCTGGATTTCTGCCACATGTGACTAGACATGCGACAAGGACATGTGACCATGCACATCATCTCAGGGGAGGAAAATGCCTTTCCCCGAGATCTCATGAGATTTCCCAGCAATGTTCTGCTGATGACAAGCCAATCCCAGTGTGCATTGCTTTGGCAAACTGAAGACATTTTGCCCTTTCAAAGCAGGAAGTGGATTTTCTGCATGTGTAAATATTTCAGAATCACAGCATTTTACACCTGAGATGTCTAGGTTATTACTAATCATCATACATAGAGCAATACATTGGTAGAATTTGATTTTTGAGTGTAAAGGTCCACTTCAAGTCAGGTCACATGGATTTTAAAATAGTTGGGTAACTGGTATAAAAAGGTTTGTGTTGTCTATAGGATACCAATCAGATTTTTAATTCTAACTTTAGATCTGGACAAGAAAAAAAAAAAGAAAGGACAGCCATTCCCATGAGCCTTGGCTGTCGCTAGAGTAAAAAGAGTGGGTTTGGTGAATATTAATGCTGCTGTAACCTAGGACATTGGTGGGCACCAGATTTAAAGCAAAGAGCAAAACCAACTTTGATTCTGAAACATGTATTCGATTGTATATATTTTTTTTTTTACTGTTAGTAAGAATTACTATGAAACACCCATCCAACAAGCCAAGCCCCTTAAACAACTTGGAGCATCTTCCAGTCTCGCCATGTCCCCAGAACACAATCTCATTAAATAGTTACAGGCACTGATCATCTCATACTGTAAAGTTAATAGACTCAGATCTCATTGTGTACTTAATCCTGTTACATTTCAGGGGAATTAGAAAATTACTGATGAAAAAGTATTTGCACTTTTATGTAACATAACATGAATGTAACGGAGTACGTCTTTGAACTTGGCTTGGGAATTTACTTTTAAAACATGGTGTTTTATCTCTATAGTGGGCAAAGCTAATTTACTACTAAAAGAACACGCAGTAGGTAAGGGTTTCTACTTCTTAATTTCTTTGTAAGTATCCAGGATGATAAACAACATAATAGGGAACAATAGTTGTAATGTGGAAGGTGAAAAGCGGGGCATCCTACCTTTGAAATGAGCTCATCATGATTTGCAAGATGAGCTCTGCAATGAATGCAACTGTACGTTCTGTGGCAAGAGGGCAAATATGCCTGAAATGTTTTGGACCTGGTCATTTTCACCATTGGGGCCACTGAGCGCTGAGTAAATTCTGGAGTGGCCCACGAGGCGCTTCCGCAGGAAGGGTCGCACGGGAAACACCGGAACACGCAGGTAAAGGCCGTGGTTTGGCAGGTTACGGGTGTGGGGGCAGGCTCCACACACCGAAGAATACACTAATGTTTGATACAGTGCCTCCAGATCCAGTGCAGTCACCTATAAAAAAAAAAAAAAAAATGATAAAAGTTAGAAAGATAAAAATGATAAAAGTTCAAATAAGGGAGTCAAAACATCACTTGTGGTTCATGCACAGGCCTCAGTGGAGTTTATATTCTAATGTCACTACTACAGTCTTAAAAACACATAAAAGCTGATCCTATAGTAATACTAAAGCCAAAACCCAGGAAGTGAGTGACAGCTAGCCCCTCCAACATCCTCTCACATGAGAGTGTAAAAACAGTAAGGATTGGTAGGGGCAGGTAAGTGATGTGCAGGAATTGAGTAGGACTTCTATGGTCAAAATTATATATATATTTTAGTATTTCTATATAAAATTTCCATAACTTCTATCCCACTTCTCATAACCATATTGATCTAAAAAGTTCCAAACGTATTTATTAAAGATGCCCACAGGAGGTACTGCCCCAATGCATTGACACAATTTCACTCAGCCCTGTGAAAATGCACTTGCTTGTGTCACAACGCTCACAGAGCCTGCCTTTTGAACTAAAGCTCAACATCTAAAAATTTGTATATGATAATTGCTTGCTGTTAGCAATGCTTGATGGGATATGTATTTTTGAGAAATTGAGATTGCATCACATCAAGCAGCAGGGAAAATAGCACACTTGGGTAACCAGGAAGCTGTTGGAAGTGATGGGCAGACGGAAGGCACCACTTACTACATAAAAGGGATTTTTTCAAGTACAGTAATACTTTGGTTTACGAGCATAATTCATTCCGGCAGCATGCTTGTAATCCAAAGCGTTTGTATATCAAAGCGAATTTCCCCATAGGAAATAATGGAAATTCAGATGATTTGTTCCACAACCCAAAAATATTCATATAAAATGATTACAATACTGTACTGTAATATAATAACGTATAAAATATAAAGAAAAATAAACAGATTACAGGTACCTTTGTGGCTGGTGTGAGGGGGACAAGAGAGAGGAGGATTATTGTGTAGGACAACTTTCACTATCACTAACGGAATCACTGCTATCTCTTGACTCAATGGAATCTTTTTCATTACGTGAAACCTTAACAAGGAATCTATCCAATGTGACATTGCATTGTCGTTAAACAGACTCATCGCTCGCACTGGTACAGCCTTATTCTGTGGAGCTTTTCTACAAAATTTTGCTCTTATTGCAAGACATTGCTTGTATATCAAGGCAAAATTTTTCAGAAATGTTTGCTTGTCTTGCAAAACGCCCTCAAACCAAGTTACTTGTAAACCAAGGTATTACTGTAAATCTTGATTGCAATATTGAAAACAACTCTAGTATGTATTCCTATTACAATGTTATGTTATTACAGGATATGATATGCTGGGACTTTACAACTCCTTTAGGGTGCGAGGAAAGTCTTGGAAAAATAGTGCTGGGCAGGATGTGCAGAGTACAGCAGCTTTAGAAATGACAGCCTGCTGATCCACTAATGGGCACTTTGAGCTGGATACAAAATGTGCATGTGCTCAGTACAGTATATAGGGGTGCATCTGTTTTTGTGTGGAGACTGGATTTCATGGTGGCATGTACTAAGTAGGTTGGGGTTCATGGTGGGATGTGCTTAGTGTATTGGGGTTAATGGTAGAGTGTGTCCTTGGTATACTCTGCTGTATGTGTTATACTCCAGACTGCCTCATTCCCTACAATGTGCTGTATGTCACACATTCCACACTGCTCCACTCCGAACGCTGTGCGATGTTATATATTCCATACTAAATCATAGCAGTATTGTTCTATCAATAAACAGATATTATTTGTATTACCAGGACTTCTAAATTCCTCCCTGTCCAGTAAATAGGTTCACTTCTGCTAATCAAAGGTATAAAGCAAATAAGTACTTTACCTATATTTTTAAATGTGCAAAAGTCCTGAGAAAATATATGAGCAAACAGGAAACATACACAGACATTATACCGCGGACCAATATTTATGGCCTAGTGCTAACCACAAAACCAAATTACTCTCTTCATTAAGGCTCTGAAATTACATTTACTATTCAATAGTTATGAAACCCTTGAAAATAAGCAGAATCTATTGTATGGTCTGATATGCTTTATAAAATAGACTAAGATATCTAAATAAGACTTCAAGACTAAAGAAAAATGATGTTCAAAATATGTTATTGTGCAGGCCCTGTTATTTCCTGTCATGTATATTGCTACCATTGTATCAATGTTCTTCTAACAGGCTGGAGATAATTTTGGACATGGAAAAGCAAAAATGATTTTGTAGATGAATAAAATGTCAAAATTTGCTAAAATGGAATTTGCAATTTCTTGGCTTGTGTAGATTGGAGAGCTGTCAGCATAATTCAGGGCCAACGCCACTTGGCAGAGTCAGCAGCATGACAACAACAATCTTTTTAGCTGTCTGTAGGGGGGAATTCTGAACATCACTGAGGAAAAGCAGGCATTCTTCCCATCTAACACCAATGTAAAGAGCATTTCCCACTGACCCCCAATGAATTGTATTTAGTAGAGGTTCTCCTAAATCTGAAAATTAGTTCAAGGATTCCTCTGGGGTAAAAAGTTTGAGAAAGGCTGGCTTACCTAAAACACACTACTAAAAAAATGTGCTTTGCCAACACATTCCTACCTAGAGAAATGGATAAACACACATAAGAAAATGTCTGAAAAAAGTGTTGTCTATGCTGTCCCTCTACTGCAGGGTTTCTCATCCAAGCTTCCAAGAGAAGTCCCCAGGGGTTCTGCCTCTAGCTATATTTGCAGTGAATTTTATATCTGTCCAAATGTGGTTTCACTGTTCCCCCTGCAATTAAGCTAAATCACTGAGTACTGCCGGGCAGATTGATATCAGCCTGATAGTTCTCTTCTGATGTCACTGAGTGGTGTGGAATGAGAAAGCAGGGCTTCCAATAGAAATCATGGGGCATGATACAGCCTACTTGACAGTGCCCCCCTGGTCAACCCTCGCTGCATAATATGTTGTGTAAAAATTTTTTTTTAAAAAGAAAAAAAAAAAAAAAAAACCCCACGCTTGGTCTTCAAATGCCATTTATAATTCTCCAGCATATTACACATTTGTAGAAGGGCCTGCAATGACAACCCCCAGCAATAACTGCCAAAAAGTGTCAGGGCCGGCAATGAAAAAACCCAGCAATATCAATCAGCAAGTGTCAGGGCCAGCAATGGTAACTCCCAGCAATATCCACCAGCAAGTATCAGAACCTGCAATGATAACCCCCAGTAATAGCCCCCAGCAAGTGTCAGGGCCTGCAAAGATAACCCCCAGCAAGAACTGCCAGCAAGTGTCAGGGCCTGCAATGATAACCCCCAGCAATAACTGACAGCAAGTGTCAAGGCCTGCAATGATAACCCGCAGAAATATCCACGAGCAAGCGTCAGGGCCTGCAATGATAACCCCCAGTAAGTGTCATGTCAGGGCCTGTCATGATAGCCCCCAGCAATAACTGCCAAAAAGTGTCAGGGCCTGCAATGAAAAACCCAAGCAATATCCACCAGCAAGTATTAGGGCCTGCAATGATAACCCCCAGTAATATCCACCAGCAAGTATTAGGGCCTGCAATGATAACCCCCAGTAATATCCACCAGCAAGTGTCAGGGCCTGTCATGATAACCCCCAGTAAGTGTCATGTCAAGGCCTGCAATGAAAACCCCCAGCAATAACGGCCAAAAAGTGTCAGGGCCTGCAATGAAAACCCCAGCAATATACACCAGCAAGTGTCAGGGCTTGCAATTGTAACCCCCAGCAAGTGTCAGGGCCTGCAATGGTAACCCCCAGCAAGTGTCAGGGCCTGCAATGGTAACCCCCAGCAAGTGTCAGGGCCTGCAATGATAACCCCCAGCAAGTGTCAGGGCCTGCAATGATAACCCTCAGCAATATTCACCAACATGCATCAGGGCCTGCGATGATAATCCCCAGCAATATCCACCAGCAAGTGTCAGGGCCTGCAATAACCCCCAGCAATAACTGCCAAAAAGTGTCAGGGCCTGCAATGAAAAACCCCAGCAACATCCATCAGCAAGTGTCAGGGCCTGCAATGGTAACCCCCAGTAATATCCACCAGCAAGTATCAGGGCCTGCAATGATAACCCCCAGCTTAGGGCTGCCACCCGTCCGGTTTTCACCCGGACAGTCCGTTTTTGGCATCTTGTGTACGGGTGTCCAGCCAGCGGGCACCCTTACACAAGACACTCTGCTGACACCGGCACTTTAAATTTTCTCGTAGTACTCATACTCGTGAAAATGACCTGATACTAAGCGCAGATACCGGTGTTCTGTCGGGAACGCCAACGTAGTCGAACTTGCCGACCTCAGCATCTACGCTTGTGCACAGACCAGTATTATCGAGGAAACGCATTTATTTACAAAGTTTTTCGTTTAAATCGTTAATTGTGACCAATAATAATATTCCATCATTCACTGCCATGGACGGCATATTATTACCGGTCACAATTAACAATTACAAACGAATACTTTGTAAATAAATGTCGGTTTCCTTGTTAATCCCGTCTGTACGTAAACGCAGATACTGGGTCGGCATTCTCGACAGAACACCGGCACTAATATTTTAAACAAGAGGCTGCCTGAGGTCCCACGCTTGCTGGGGACCTCGGCAGCCTTCCTGTTAACCATGCGGTGCCATGTCGTTCGGGGGGCCCTTCATGGTTTCTTGCACCGGTGTCCTTTAGGTTCTAGTTATGCCTCTGTTGAAATCCCAGGACAGTCTGGCAGAAATCAGGATGGTTTGGTGGTATGCCAAAGTGACGTAAATCTTGCCATTCCGTGTCCTATTCAAAAGATTTCTCCTAACTTCCTTCAGGAACAATAGGAAGTTAGAGCAAATGGGCGCGGTTTAAGGGTAGGGTTGCCACCAGTCTGGTTTTGGAGTCTTGTGTCCGGGTGTCCAGCCAGTGGGCTCCCGGACACAAGACACTCAGTGCCGACACCGGCATTTTTAATTTTCTGACAGATGCGTCTGTGGAGGTCTTTGGGCCTAAA